AGTCCTTTAAAAATCTATATAGTGCATGAGACTAGAAAGAATCCACTACTGCCAGAGGGAGTAAAGAAGGGGTTCTAGAGGACAGGGATATAGGTTGTTTCCTAAAAGATGGTTAAAATTTGATGTGAGAAATAAGGGGTAAGGATATTCAAAATGATAGGTAAAGCATGAACAACTCAGAAATGACCTTGGCATGTCCATGAGACTGTGAAAGCATCAACTTGGATGGAGTAGAAGGTGCCTTTGGCTCACTCTAGCAGCGGTTCTCAACCTGTGGGTCACGAACAATGAAAATACATCCTGCATATCGGATATTTACATTACGATTCATAACAGTAGCAACATTACAGTTATGAAGTAGCAATGAAAATAATTTTATGGTTGGGGGTCACCACAACATGAGGAACTGTATTAAAGGGTCGCGGCATCAGGAAGGTTGAGAACCACTGCCTAGGGCAAAAGTTAGAAATGCATGTTTAGGTGAATTGAAATGCCTTCCAAGTTCAGGCAGGTAATTAAATGAGCGAAGCAGCCTGGGCATCTACCGAGAGGGAGTGGAAGAAAGCTATGGCCCAGGCTCAACAAAAAGAAAGACATCACTAAGCCCCAGCCAGTTCCACAGTGAACTCTGCCCTCGTGTTGCCAGACCTTCCCATTTGTCACAATACGCCACTGCTCTGGATTTTAACATGTGAGTGTGTAAATTTAATTCTTATGGCAAAACATGGAATTATGCTGGACAAAACTAGATACATAAAAATTAGTTGAGTCATACTGAATCATATCTAGTATGTGAACCACTCATTTTCAACCTCTGCTGGACTGTAGAGAGCAAAGACTGCTAGAATTACCGTAAAGCCTGCGTGGCTTATCCTATAGCCACAGAATAGAGGTGCAACAGAAAGTGGTATGCTTTCCTCAGGCTATAAATTCAGAATATTTGTATGACAAAAATAATAAGTGAAAGAGAATTGATTGGAATTATTGACTATTACAGTTTTAAAAATTATTTTTTAAATGAAATTCATCTTAAAGTTCTATTATCTGTTGTTTAAACCGGTTGCAGGAAAATTTTACAACAAAATTTTAAAAATATGTGTTGGCTCTAAATTCTTTTCAACAGTCTCATTTGCCTTTAAAAAAAAATTCAATGATATGACTCTTCTCTACCTAATAGGAAGAGGATTCTGGGTATATCTTTCCAGATGGGCCTAAATGAGCACTTGATGAATGACCTTTTATTTGCCACTACTACCAGCTGCCAATGGTGGCTGCAACCAGGATGTCTTGGTCAGGTTCATTTATGTGTGTGCTCTGTTTTGGTCCACAAGCCTGGCTGACATTGAAACCAGCCGGGGTTTGAAGGTTTGCAACAGATGCTTTTGTGCCTACTAATTTCTGAATTTGATAGAGTCTATAAATCACTCACAAAAAATACTATGTGACTCCACTATTGGTTTAGGTTTTTCTCCAACCTAATGAGACAAAACCTGAAATTGATGTTAAGAATATAGCTTCTAACCCTAGCTGGTTTGGCTCAGTGGATAGAGCATCGGCCTGTAGACTGAAGGGTCATGAGTTCGAATCCGGCAAGGGCACATGCCTGGGTTGTGGGCTTGATCCCCAAGAAGAGATGTGCAGGAGGCAGCCAATCAATAATCCTCTCTCATCATTGATGTTTCTGTCTCTCTTTCCCTCTCCCTTCCTCTCTGAAATCAATGAAGATATATATATATTTTTAAAGAATACAGTTTCTGGGGGAGGGGAAAAATGCAGCATCTAAGCCTTCATGCTGCAATAAAGAAGGCTTGTTATTTAACAAAAAAGCCAATATATTCTCTCTCTCCTATCAGGAATTCCTAACAGGTGGAAGAGCTTAGTAGCAGCAAAGAATTAGGTGGAATAGAGAATATCACGTGGAGTTTACAATATTATGCTTCTGTCTGAATGAAATGCAGCATTCCAGATGTTGCCTACATTTCACTTAAAACCAACTGCTATGATTTATGAACAATAAAAATTCCTGAAATGTAACAGGGCAACTCTGCTTCCTAATGCTGAGAAAACTCTTAGAAGATTATCACATTTTGAAAACGTGCTAATGAGCCACAAAGTCTGATTAAAATCTAAGGTGCAATATTCCAAAAATATTCCTGGTGGTTTAGATAAGTAAGGCTCAGTTTTCACCATTGATGACAGTACTTTCAGACAAATTTTGCAAAGATAAGGAGGTCTCAGTAGTTAAGCCAGTTCACAATAGCTCCTTATTAAGTTATTTTCAGGGAGCAGGGTAAGACAAAACATTAAGACCTGAAAATTGGATAAGAGAAAAAGAAAAAGAAAAATAGTCCACACATACAGACCATTCAGTTGCTAAAATGTGAATGGCTAAGACTTCCAAACATAAAAGATGAAATTTTAATTACTTAATTTAATGCCGATTTATAAATAATAAGTCCAAGTGTCAAGCAGGTTTGAACAAAGATGAACATCTTCTGTTACTTAATTGTGGAGAATAGAATAGTTGGAATCATGTTTTCTAGACAATATCTCTATGGGAGAGAAAAACGCTCACATATTGCAGCTTTGTTTAAGATCAAACTGATCTAATTAGCATTTTCATCTGCTTTATTGCTCAGAATTCCCTTTAGTGAGGTGTGCTTTTGATAAATTTCAAGGAAAGCTTTTTGGAGAAAAGTTGAATTCAGACATATAAAACAAAAAGGAGAAGTTTTCTTCAAAGATAAGCCAGAAATCATCTGAAAACTAAAATAAAAACTGCAAAGTCATAAAAGTACATGTCTATATTAATAATAAGATGTGACTTACACAGATTAACCCAGGATTATTTTATATTTATGATATTCCTGAAATAGGACAAAATCTACCAGAGGAATTTTAATTGAGGTTACATGCAAGTAATCAGAGGGAACAATACTTCTCTCTCTTCTGATTGAATGATAATGTGGCCATATTGGTTAGTTATTTTGTAAGGTCATTATAAATCATAGCGATATTGACAAGCTTGTAATTAAATGTATAAATAATTTTCTGATTTCAGATCATAAGAATTGAAGAGAGTGTTCTCACAGCACACTTCACATTCTGGACACTTGAGGATTTTGTTTCCACTTCTTTGCATGTGGCAGAGATAGACTCAATCCTATGGAGAATAAAACTATACACTTGGCACCTCCTACAGACATTGTGACTATAGGAGTGTGTTCACAAAATGTTACTAATAAGATTACAAACTGAGACAGAGTCAAGATATAGGTAAAATCCTGGTAGACCTTCCTGACTCAACTCCCTGCAAGAAATTTTCACTTGGCTGAAAAGAGAACCCCTGATACAACCATTTTTTTAACATATAATTTCATTCTCAGAAGGGGGAAAAATCAGGTAATTCTATACTTGATTTTGACCAACAAGAAAGAATTAGTTAAATTTAGTTTACAGAAGTGATGCTGAACTTCCATTACACAACCATCTCTTTAAGCAAGTAAATACCTCATTGCTAAAGCAACTACCGTGTGCTGTATTTGCAACACCAGTGCCTTGTGTGGAGTTGGTATAGATATATAACATGAAGTGTTTCAGATGCATATCCTTCATCTTTCCTTAGCATATCTTTAGTGTTTTATTATTTTATAAATATTTTTAAAAGATAATCAGAAAAGTATGTGCCAAGAGTCATCAATAATTTTCTGCATCAACATGCAAGGAAAAGACTAACACTAATCAGTTCTGTACAAACCTTGCTAAGCTTACCTGGGTGGTAAACCTCTTCAGAACTAATCCCAAAGAAGGTTATTCAACTCTTGATATGTTTCTCCTAGTTCATTCATTTCAAGGTGCGTCTTCCTCCCAGCCCCCACCCCCTCCAAAATTACCCATCCTCATCCCTCCCACCCCTTTTACTACACAATGTACATTGTTTTCAAATGTAATATGCCCTTTGCATGTCATAAAGAACAATTCTCTAAGTAGGACCGGTGATCTATATATATAAAAGCCTAAGTGACCGAACAACTGAACGACCAAATGACTGATGGACCGGTCACTATGATGTGCACTGACCACCAGGGGGAAGACGCTCAATGCAGGAGCTGCCCCCTGGTGGTCAGTGTGCTCCCACAGTCAACCTACCGTGGCCGGCCAGCCAACCTCCCGCGGCCCTGATGGCCCCAATCGCCTGTCAGGGACCCCACCCATGCATGAATTCATGCACCAGGCCTCTAGTTTAAGTATGAAATCTCAAATGTTATAGGAATCATGGGTACAACATTACCCTAGAGTTAAGAGGTAATTAATAAGAAAAATTCAACATGGGGACTTTACCAATCAGGAGGAGTTTTCACAGGAGAAATTTCTGCCATGATGACTTACAAAAATAGTTAATTGCCTTCATTCCAATTATATCCTTCTGAATCTATATTACTTCAAATGCTTCTGTAAGCTTCTTGGAGAAATGTTAATCGTAGTGCTAAAGCTAAGAATGCCATTTTGCTGAGTGATTCAAAAAAATGAGTGCTGCAACCCAAACAAAATCCTGATTCCATTTTTCTTAACTAATCAAAGAAGATTATGTGGAAGAAAAAAGTGAAGATAGAGAGCATTTCTCTTGAAGCCTAGGACAAGCTTGCTCTGTTTGAGTAATGTAAACAAAAACCCAGGGTACCAATGCGCAGCCAAGAGGGTTTGAAAACGATTATAAACGTATCACATCTGGCCTAAATATATCTCCTAACAGCTCTGGCATTAATAAACATTCATAAGTGGTTATGGCCTGTTCCTTTCCCCAGTAAATATATTTACTTCTCCGAAATAATTTTCAAATCATATAACCACAGGATGCAAGCGCCTATGAGATAGTAGAGCAATCTATTTCAAAGCAACCAACACAGGCTGAGGCTTCTATTCATGTGTATGAGTAATTGGTAACTGCGTAGATTCAAATATCAGGACCAGTACAGCTAATAATGGTGGCTGGGACTTACCAGTACTTGTAAGGAAGTTAACGTTTCTCATCACACCTTCAGTGTAAGCGCCTGGCTCATAACTGTCCATTTCACCGGTGACGATGTGAGCCACTCTTGCTGCCCGTCCTCTGATAGCACCGGCAGCTCGGTCTAAATTATCAGCATCCTGGTCTCTCAGGGCTATGATACATTTGTTGACATCTTCTAAGATGTGGCTCTCTGTAAGGAAACAGATCAAAATAATTTTGTCAGTATTTTTTTATCACACAAATCTAGCATATTATAATATAAGTTAACTTCTGACTTCAGATGTGATGCATGTTGGGAATGGAGGACAGGGACAATAGGGAAGGAAAAATACAGACATAATTTTGCTCCTATCTCTTTAAGAGCAAAATTTGCAAAATACAGAATTTTACATTTTTATCAACAATCTTTATAGATTATATATTGTTTTATATTCTAGTTCCAATAGATTAGATTTTAGATTTGACTGCTTTGTAGGTGGAAACTGAGTTTCTAGATTAAAAAAAATAAAATGTGTAATAATAGAATATTTAATCCTGATTAAAAGCAACATTATAGAGGTTATAAAACTCTTTAAAAATTTCAGTTGTCCTAAATATATAGCAAAATAAAACTATGGAGTTCTATTCAACTAATCTTCATTGATGTACAATGAAATTTAACACAATTACAGAAATCTAAAAATTAATAAATAACAAACATATGAAATACATAATTTTTAAATTGTAAAGCAGCAACCTCTCTAAGTCTATGAAAACACTTAGATAAATAGGGGGCTTTGAAAAGATTGACTTGAGGCAAGCTAATCCCTGAGAAAGTTGCCTACTCTGAAGAGTGTCCCCCGACCTCCACTGCTCCTTCCCTCTTTGCATGATTAGGGCATGAAGACAGCAGACTTCTGAGGATAGTACTGTTTTCTTTGTCTACGAAATGATTAATACTCCCAATAAAACTAATGAGAGAAGCTGAGCAAATATGGGGAATATCATCAAGACTGGGCAATATTTCTAAGAAATTAAAAGAATATTACAAGAATTAGTGTTTGGCTCTTAGCATTTTCAAATGAATCCCCACTCAAAATCCTTAAGGACTCTATTACTTAAAAACATACTAGAAAACAGCTACAACAAAAAGGCCTTACTAATTTCAGACCATAGTGTTAACTTCCCCCTCCCCCCAGAGGACAGGCATTCACAAAGCTATTTCTTTGCGGCGTCACACCTTTCTTGTCATGGGTAGAGCATAAAATCCAAAAGACCAAATAATATGGTCCCTGGTGACTTTCTGAGACCTGATGACTATCATTCCTCTCTAGGCCTCTTATGCTTCAGTCATATTTATTTTATGATTCCCAAGTCCACCATGTTCTTACAAGCCTCTGTTCCTGTGGGCATATTAGAGTCTTGACCTAGATAGACTGTTCTTTTTCTTTCCTGGATCCAATTTCTGTGTGTGTGTGTGTGTGTGTGTGTGTGTGTGTGTTTGTGTGTGTGTGTGTGGTGGGGGTGAGGATGGGGGCGGTTCCAAACTCCAACAAGCAATTTTGGTGTCCACCTGGGTGTCCTACAATTCAACTCAATCCTGACACTCTCTACCAGAATTGGCATCCGATTCCACAAGACTTCTCCTGCACCCTTCACTTCAGACACCAGTCCCAAGCCCAGTTTGTTACCTATACTTCTGACTGTCTAGCAATAAATCAGAGATTCCCATCACTCCTTCTTTGGGTTTTATTAACTTGTTAAAGCATCCCACAGAACTCAGGGAAATATTTACTTATTAGATTTAACTTTTATAGCTCAGGAACAGTCAGATGGAAGATGCATAGGCCAAAGTATAAGGAGAGAGTATGGAGTTTCCATGCCCTCTCCAGACACACCACTTTCCCCACATCTCCACATGCTCCCTAACACAGAAGCTCTCTGAATGCAGTCTACCCCCCCGCCCCACATGGAGGCTTCACTACATAGATAGGATTAATTCAACCTCCAGCCCCCTCCTCTCCACCTCTCCATGGTTGGTTCCTCAGGCAATAGGCCCCATCTTCAGTCCACTGTCATCTCATTAACATAAGGAAAGAAACCTCAAGGCTTTCAGCACTTAGCAAAGTCCAAGGATTTTACAAGCTCTGTATCCGATATGGGGTGAATACCAAATATATATTTTCTATTATAAATCATAATATCACAGCTGTGAATCCCCTTTGGTCTGATTCATCAACTTCTATTCTTTCAAAATACGAGTCAAATGTTCCTTCCTCAGAAAATTCATGCTGACTGACAACAAGACAAATTTTGTCCCATGTTGTTTGGGATTCCCATGAAACAGTCTATATGTTTCCATTAGGTCTTTTGTCCATGTTCTAATGATGTATTCATGAAAATATCTCTCTGTACACTATGGAATATATGGGAGCACAGGTATTTTATCTTGTTACTTGGAGTAGCCTATCTAGTCTCTAATACAATAAATGGCACCTGTTAAACCAAAGAATATTTGTTGAATGAATGAATTCCTCTAATAAGACACATCTGAGAACAGTAAATTATTTTGTCTACATCCTAAATCATGTGTTATGTACATAAGTAGACATATTTCTGTGACCTTAAATAGTCAACTTGACCCACATCAAGGACAGCCAGGTCATTTACTTGAAAAAGATTAAACACTGAAAACCATTTTTATAAATTCACTCTAATTTTAACCTACTCAGCAGCATTCAGTTATGAATGTATCATAAAGGCATATAATAAATACAGGCAGGATCCCTTCTCAACAGAAAGTGCCTGGGTATCATTACCATCATATTTCCCCTGGAACTGAAGTACAAGTTTAAATGTGGGAGGCATAGCAATCATGAGCTTTTTAAAAGTCCACAGATGTGCACTTTAATGACACATTAAGAAGCTGTTATTTCCCATGTACGTTGGTAAGTTGTGTGTTTTTTTTTAATAAGTACAACATAGGTTAACCATAAATTAAGGTGCTTAATTTTAGGTTGCAGAGTTAATTTTTACTCAATCCTAAAAAATTGAAAAGATATTTAGGGGAAAAAATTCACAATGCTCATTCTTGAAGATTAATTGTCTTATAAACTATGTAATTTCTATTTAATTAAAGGTGAAATCATATCTGTCACAAACTATTCTTTATCTGGTGAATTTTACACAGGAAAAGGTATACAAAGAATATTCAATAACAATAAACTGATTGTTTCCCTCTCCTATAGAAAAAATTATATACAAGCTCAGCAATTTATTTATTATTTGAAGCAGAGAATAAAAACATAGCAAGGGTTGTTTTTGTTCTTTTTTTATTGGTCTTAGAGAAGTGTGTGTGGTTATTGCTTCAGACTGAGCAACACAATCAGCAGCCATAGTGTTAATTAATCACGTGGAAGCATTCTATAGGCAAGGTGAGATACAGAAATAAAAGCCCTACAGGAACATACACAATATGAAAAAATAGTACATGAAATGAGTGGCAAGCAGCATATAACCAGACTTTATCATAAGCAGATATACTGAGAATGTTGGAGATGATGACTATCTGATCTTTTGAATTACTAAGATTAAATATAGCACAAAGGTATTAGGAAAGTGCAAAGTTTCCATTATTGTGACACTTTCCCATTACCCTAATATTTCAAAAAATGCCAGCAACAATTATTTGCACAAAATTCTAAATAATAGAGTGCCAGAAAAAGAAAATAAAAATGTTGGGCACCTCCCACGTATGCACAATAATTAAACAGTGAACTAATTTCCTAAAATCAAGTATTTCTTTGCTACTCATATTTCAGGTGAATTAGGTAGCTAAAAAGTCCTTCATGATAGCTTGAGTTTTTATGCCCAGTTATATAACCTTACACCGCTAAGGGGAAAAAAATAAAACACCAAATATCTTGTATAAAACTCCTTACTGGTGTATCTCTTAAGACTTTGCTGATGGACTAGGATAACTTATTAGACAGATGTAGCAAAAATTATTAGAAGCTCTACATCCAATTTATTTTTTTCTCAACTGTAGATGCACTTGGACTCAACAATTACATCATTTTTAAAATGAGATTTAAAATAAAGAAAATGTTATTATAGAATAAGCACATTTAGAATATTACATGCTTTGAAGAACGATTGAAGACTTGTCTTTATTAATAGTTTCAGAGTGTGAGTTAACATTTGATTTGGGGTGAGTGGTGGGATGTCCTGTGTTACTGAAAATCCTAAAGTGCATTATTTTAAGAGCAAAGAATTGCTAACTACTAGCAATCTCTATCAATCACTTTATAGCTATTCTGAAATGCAAAGGGTTTTTTTTATGTTGAAAATAGTAATAAGTAGGGAGTCATATTGATTTTGAATAAAAGATATTTCATTTGTTGCAAACTTCTCTGAGTAACTCCAACTTTGGTCACTGTAGCAAGTATTAACACAATGAGATTTGAAATGCCTTAAGTTTTTTTTTCTCTGATTATTTTCTTAATTTTTTAGTTTTCCACAATTAGAGCTAGAATTAGTCTCAGGAAAAGTAGAAAAGAAATAAAATCCAGCCAAAGCAGAAACTTATTTTTTCTAAAGGTACTGAGTGATAAGCCAAAAGAGGCTGAGTTTCATAAATTGGCAAGATTAAAGGTTAGCTACCGATTGTATATGAGTTCAGAGAGTTAAGATAATTGATTAAATTTTTTCAGTTGAAGTTGACATATATTATGTTAATTTCAGGTATACAACATAGTGATTAGACATTTATATACCTTACAAAGTGATCACCCTGGTAAGTCTAGTACTCATCTGATACCATACATAGGTATTATAATATTAATGACTATATTCCCTATGCTGTACTTTTGAAGCATAGTAACCTCCATCTTGGGTAAAAACTGCATTTAAAATTTTAACCCTGCTATTCTGGCTTCTGTAAACATTTGCTTCCTTAAATAATAGGGAAAATAAGACTACTCCCATTCCAGAGAGGCCATAAACTCTGCCCCAGACAGAGTTGTCAGTGCTGGTGCCAGGCCAGGCCTTGAGATATAGTCTCACGGCCCTGTCCCAGCAAACAGGACTTTTTCTCAGAAGGTCCGGAAGTCTCATTCCAAATTTGGAAAACAAAGAGCTGAAAAACATATAAATTGAAAAGACTTTCACCATATTGGGCCCCAGAATTTGAGAAGCAAGAGTTCCTCTGAG